CACATCGTGCATTTGAACGCTTCGGCGCTGTTCTTGAACGTGCACACGCTGCAGTCCCAGTAGCCGTCGTCGGAGGAGGGCTTCGCTTGGCGTTTTGGCCTTCAAAAAGCAAAACAGAGAGAACATCACATCTCGGACTGTAGAAATCTCCGACACACATATCTAATCCTATCCATACAAAGCGTCAGCCGGACGCCTGCGCAAGCGACTTGTTTTTTTTTTTACGAAATGACACTTTAGGTTGATAAAAACAGCCAGTCCGCCATGGTGGCCACTCTGTTGCGTCTTTCTCATTCAGGCGCGCGCTGCCTACTGGTCTGTTTCAAGCCTTGAGACGGTCTCGAATTTCTTGAAGCCACGGCTGTGGGAGTTTCTTTCTGTTTGCTTTTACCTCGTCGGACTCCTCTTGTCTCCCATGCTGCAGAAACTTTGTGCGAAGCGTCGCAGGCACAGCCGCCTCTCGCGCTCTGTCCTCTCTCGAGCGGCTCCCTTCCAGCTGTCGTAGAAACGCCAGCGCAGCGGTGGTCACGTGACCGGGCTCCACCAATCCGGCGCCGATTTATTTTCTCAAAAAGTAGGGTCCGCGGGGTTTATATAAAAGAGTTGTGCTCCCGCTTCACCCCGACCCCAAATCAACTGGGCGCAGAGCGAGTGCGAGTGAGGTAACTAACTGCCCTACTCTAAATGAAAGACATCCGTTCATGGCACTTTCCACAAATAGGGTACAACATGCCTTTACGAAGATTTTACCATGGTTTTGCCACAAATAAAGCCAAAAAAAACCATGGTTAAACTGTGGTGACTACAAATTTGCCATCGTTTTGCTACACTAATCATAGTTTAAACATGGTATTTATAGTAAAACTGTGACTATACAAATGGTAATCATAGTTTAACCATGGTATTTGTAGTAAAACTGTGGTCATACAAATGGCAATCAATACGCCAAAGAAACATGGTTACACTATAGTAAAACCATGGTTTTTGTAAGGGCAGTGCCTAAACTCTACAAAGTTGTTTTTATGTTTCAGCAAATGGTCTGTGACAACTTTTTATATGAGCTGTTTTGTTTTCTATTTATTTTCCGTAATGTTACCAAACTTTGGGTCTAAATGCAGCTTAAAACCTTGATTTGTGTGATTGTTTTGTTTGCCATTTTCTAACAACAAACATCAAAATTAAAATAAACTAACAATACAAAACAAAGAAGCAAACAGAATGGTTAACAGGGTTGCAATTTCAGCCTACATTAAGCTGTTGCACTACTGGGACCAAATATTGTTGTTGGAAATATTTCCCATTTTTCTACTTCCAGAAGAATATTTGCTAGATTTTTTTTCTTATAATAACACGTATAAAAGAGCTGAATTGTTGCGATTGACTGATGCACTCAGGTTTTAGATTACAGTTCAACAGATCAACCGTTATACCATCAGATATCAGTCAAGAAGAACAAGATCTTTGACTTGGGACAGGCCAAAATCTTATTTTACACATTTTAAGTTGTATCGTAGAAATTGTGCATAAATTTCACACATACATTTGCTAATGATATAAAGCAAAAAAAATTTTATTTCAAATATGCTGTACTTTTTGAGGTCTTTCTCACTGAGAATGCAAACACTTGTATATTGAACTTTCATAACTTTGACTTATATCAGTGGGTGAAAAAATGAGAGCTGAGGACAAAGGTGACAGGAAGTTATTTTAAAACAGTTTATTTTCCATGCTTCCTGGAACAATAACAAGAATGTAATTGTGAAATACACAAAACAACACTTTATTTACAAGATTTAAAAAAAACATTTTTTTTACAGAACTTTTCTGCAGGATCTTTAAATCCCAATACTACATACCCAATATTTGGAGGTGTAATTATCTGAATGAGGAGCATACAATGACAACAAACATCTCAGATGAAGGTAAGAAGAGTTTTTTTTTTTTCTGACTTTCTGCAACATAGTTTGATCAAATTAGAAATTCAGATCGGTATGTGACCTTCTTAATAGGTAAGAGTGGTTGAGAAGAGGCGATGTGTTCCGAACACATAGAAGTATGAGTCAGTCACTGAGCTCCTCCTCGTCACTGAAGTAGGCACTCTTTTTGATCTTGGGTTTGTGGGTGTCCTCTGATGTAGATGCTTGAGACACATCCTCTGTGACCTGCTTCCTTCTCTTCTCCTCCTCCTCAATGCGTGCTTGCTGATGATGATAGGCAAAAATTTATTTTTCTCTTTGAACCCTTTTTTACTAGGAATATTAATGTATGATGACTGAACTGTAGAGTATATAATATTCACTGACCTGGAAAGCAATTGCCTGACTTAAACTGTCCAGTGCTGGATCCTCTCCTTCTTCCTCACTGTCCTCTGGTTCTCTGAAAGAACAAAAGCAGTATATGTATTCACTTATATTATTTGCAATTTCATACATATAAAAGATTAAAGGAACAGTTCACCCAAAAAAATGAAAATTTGCTTTAATATTACTCACCCTCAGGCCATCCAAGATGTAGACAAGTTTGTTTCTTCATCGTAACACGTTGAGAAATGTACATCACTTGCTCACCAATGCATCCTCTGCAGTGAATGGGTGCCGTCAGAATGAGAGTCCAAGCAGCTGATAAAAACATAACTTTCCACAAGTAATCCACACGACTCCTGTCTAACAATTTAAGGTCTTGTGAAGTGAAAAGCTGCATGATTGTAATAAACACACACAAAAATACAAGTTCATAATGCATAAAAATGCTTCATCCAGTGAAAAAGTCCATGTTGTCCTGTTACATCAAAATCCACCAATATATTTGTTTAGAACTGTGTGGACCATTTTCTCTTGTGAACGGTGCTTGATCTGTGCATTTTTCTCTCCTAATTCAGATGAGACGACTTTTTCACTGGAGAAGGCAATGTTATGGATTGAAAACTCATTTATTTTAGCTGAAAGCAAGAGTTTAACATCATAATGGTACATTTGTTTATAACAAACACGCAGCTTTTCACTTCGTAAGATGTTAATTGATGGACTGGAGACATGTTGATTACTTGTGGATTATGGTGTTGTTGTTTTTTTCAGCAGTTTGAACTCTGGCGGCACCCATTCACTCCAGAGGATCCATTGATGAGCAAGTGATGTAATGCTACATTTCTCCAATTTTTTTCAGATGAAGAAACAATCTCATCTACAACTTGGATGGCCTGTTGGTGAGTAACTTTTCAGCAAATTTCATATTTGGATGATGTATTCCATTAAATGCATTAAATAAGTACAGAGTTTGTGCTCAAACAGCAACATTACAGACTAACTAAAGTTGAAAAAGTGAAAAAGCATAATAGGACCCCTTTTTATTCTATTAAGAACTGCTTACGGCTCCTCAGGCTGCTGCACCTTTTTCTTCTTTTTCTTTTCTTTTTTAGGTGGAGGTTCTCTCTCTCCAAGTAAATTTTTAGGACAAGCGTAACTCAAGTGCCCTTCTTCCTGGCGGAGACAAATAACATGACCTCAAAAATGTATAAGCAATATCATCTACACATTAGCAATATCACAGTGTAAGATTTAATACATGACCACCAACACATTTCAACATATTATCATTGAATAACCCTACATATTATGAATGAAAACTTACCCCACATTCATAACATTTGGATTTGTCGGAGTAGTTCCTCCTTCTGATGAATTCTGTAGCTCTGCCATTGTCGATGGCGATGCTGGCCTTCACCGTTCTCCCAAACAACTGAAAGAGTTCAAGAGCAATCAAACACTTTGGCTTCATGTGAACTTTTTTTTTTTAACTTAATGTCATGTTAAACCATCATACCGTTTTGTTGTTTAGCGATCGGGCGCAATTATGAGCAGACTCTCTGTCTAGGAACAGCACAAACGCCACTCCCTTACTCATCCGTGTCTGCTTGTCTTTGACAACAGTAACCCTTCAGAAAATAATATTGTGACTATGATCAGGCTATACTTTGATAGAACTATAGAGGTATAACAGAATCTACCCATTGCAGCCCAAAAATAAAGGATACTTACTTCACTACCTTGCCATATTTCGAGCATAACTGTGGGGAAATTGCAAGAAATATATACAAGTTAACAATATTTGTAAATTTACTTTAAAAATTCTGTAATGAAAGAATGTAATATAGGGAAGTGTGGTAAGATGTGTTGCTCCCTTATTCTAAGGTATTTGCACAATATTTGTTATGTGACCATATATTTAGAGAGATTCCATCAAAGTTTAAAGTGTGTCAGATGCTTCAGGGCAAGAAGTCAGGAAAAAAAATATATATATACATATGAAATATATTTGAAATGTATTTTGTTTATTAGTTTCACTTCTCACTCAAGTGGCTTAACCCACTCCCCCATATAAAACTAATAAAAATGGTCAAAAATGTAATTTTGACATACAACAGAGTACCTTGTGCAAATCGCTGTTAGTCAAGGAGAATGGGATGTTAGACACATAAACGGTGCTTTTGCTGGGCGCTAAACCACCACTCATGTTTATCTTTGATATCTGAAAAAGAACAAATGACATATTTCAAAACATGTAAAGACTCATAAGCAAAATGTGATAGTAAAAGAGCTTACGGGAAACATAAATAAAAAATCATTTCAGACTTACTTAATCGCCAGAATCTTATTGATTTAAAGCATGTTTACCATAATGACAACAACTGCATTTGTCGTCTCTGAATTTATTCAAATGTACGTTTAACCAGCGTGTAAATCCGATTGAAAATATCAACGCAGCGCGACCCGGAAGATAAAGAGAGACCGCTGTCGCAACATAACGCCCTCTGTCACAAAACAAATTCACAAAATTAATTGCTACTTATATAAATCAGAGAGACTCGTGAAAAGGTCTTAAAATGAAAATACGGTGAATACTAGCCTCAAATGTTTTTTTTTTTTGTTTTTTTTTTTACAGTTATTCTATTAGGATTGTGTGGCTTTATTTTGAAAAAAATATATTTAGTCTGAACCCGGAAACATTGTGTTTTTCATTGTGGCTGTGGAGGTTTGTTTAGCAACTGGCTGAGCGTTTCGCCACGTTTCGTCTCAAAATATTCTTATTTAACAAAGGTTAATTGGCTACAAAAGACAATTTTTTTTTTACATTGACAGGAGGTATGTCAAGCAACGAATGTAAACGGTATGTAAACGCTTATTTTGGGGTTACGCATGTGTTTTCAGTATGCATGCACACTGGTAAAAGACGGTATTAACGTTACTGCGTCTGGTTTAAATTAGTTTATCATATCAGTTTGTTGACTGGAGATGCACACATATGGGTAAAACATAAATCCATATAAATGGGAGTTGATCCCTCTTTGACTGAATTTAGCACGAACAACGCTGAAATGTAATCAGAGGTTCTTGCACGTCAAAAAAAAAAAAAAAACAGTTTCGACTACAGTGACCGTTTTAACTTAGTCTGATAAGTACAATATTGGAAGTAGATGATAATACTAGGGTTGTGCCTAACAACGCCCTCTACCCACAAATATTTTTATATTGAAAAAAACAAAAATGTTTATTATTATTAGTCAGAACAGAAGTACTAAATTGTAGGGTTTTCTTCTATACAATAAAATGTGATAAAGCCTTTGACTTTTCAGTTATTTTGAACACTTTTACTTCAGTTATTGTGAGCACAAAGCTGCATATATCAGCAATAATTATTGGTTATGGGCCATAAATAATCTGCCAGCTATAGGTATTGGTACATCCCTATTTCTGTTTCATTTACCTCTCATTTGTTCATAGATAACCATCATACAACTGAAGACATCTGCTTTCCATTCAGAAACTAAAAGTAAGTAATTTAGAGAAATAAGCTAAAGACTGATTAAAATAGTATTAATATTATAAAATGTTTATATTATTTTAAATGTAAATATGATTCAAATGTAATAAGATATCACTGTCATTTGTATTAAGTGTTTTTTTGTTAGTGTTATGCAATATTTACAAAGTTATTTATTGATGTTGTCATATATTTTGTTTTAATTTCATTTCATTTGATGTAATAATTCATGTGTAAGTGCCATATGGTTACTGAGGTTCACAGTCGATCTCTGTCCATGTTTTTATATCACAGTGGCTTTTAGGAGAGAACGAAATCTTAGAGATATTTATGAGGAACGGTTTCCAGCAGGAAGAGTGGTAAACACTATTTATTTATTCATATTTTTTGGTTTTATTTATGTATTTATTGGGGGGGGTTGGTCTACAATCAGATATTTGGTTTATGCTGCGAGACAAACGGCTGTGCTTGAGCTTTTCTGATCTTCAAGGGTCCATATCCAAGAGAAGCTCAAGGGGACAGGAGACCACCCTTCGGGCGGCCAGACGAGGACTACGGCCGTGGTTTTGAATACGATGGCTCTCGGTTTTACCCAAATGGTGCTCCTCGCAACTACCATGGAGAGGATCAGAGAGGTTTTCATGGAGACAGCCATCTCTCATTTCCAAATGAGAACAGGGGTGGACCACCCGGGCGAAGGGTAAGTATTAGAGATCAGATGTGTTTTTCTTATGTTTTTCAGATATGTCGTCTTCTATTTTTATTTTGTTTATTGATGACTTTTTTGTTTCTTTTTTTCAATGTATACTTAATGTGTAAAACTGTGTCTGCCTGACTTTTTGTTTGTTATTTGTGTTAGTTATAGGTATGTTTGTTTTAGGTATACAATACAACTATATATGTACACTCCTGAATGATTTGAAATGGGATAAAAACATTTTTTTTTAAAAAGATCAGATATGGAAAATGCTCAACAATTGCAATTGTATATCTCACTTCATCATATAATTTTGTTTTGCACTTTAGCAAGAAGACTTCCCATACTACAGAGGGCCGAGAGAGGAGCCGCATGGTGGGCGCCAAATGGACTTCAGGTATTTCATAACTTCAAAATGTTACAAAGGAAACGATGTATTCCTACATTTGTAATGGGTGTATTCTGGATAAATTAAGCCATCTTTTCTCTCTCTACTCTTTGGAAATAGTGACAGTGTTACGAACTTTAAAGTTCCAGGGGTTGGAACGCAACGTTTAGTTATTAATATTGCTGTGATGGTGGTACATTTAGTTCTGGAACTAAAGCGGTGCGAAAGGCCCTATTGTAGAAAGAACCAGGCACACAGAGCGTTTAACCCAATTGAATGTTTTAATTTCCTCAAGCCGAAGCCATTAAACAGTGTGTAAGCTATATACAATGCATGATGTAAAAACAAAAACGAAAGTAAGAAGAATACATTAAACTAAGGGGAAAAAAGTGGAATGAGGATGGCGCCAAATCAACAAAATTAATAAAAACCAAAATAGTTCCTAAACTAAGTTCTCAGAACCCAGAACTTAAGGGCCTTTCGCACCGCAGGAACCTTTTCATAGTACCAGAACTAACTGTGGAACTACCCACTTTTTGGCGTTTTCGCACCGCCGGAACTGGGTGTGATTTTAGTACTGGACTGCCTTTTTTGAGAACCAAATTAGCTCCTACTCCGGATTTCTATGGTATACTGAAAAACAATGATAAGCATATCATAAGTTTTAAAGGCTTTTATTGGCAAAAAAATATAATCTGTCAATATTTACAGTCTTGACCCTTGTTCTTCATAACCTCTGCAATTCGCTCTGGCATGCAGAATATTAGTTTCTGGGCCAAATCCTGACTGATGGCAATCCATTCTTGCCTTATTAGTTCTCAGAGTTGATCACAATTTCCTTGCATGTGAGGCCATTTGGATGCAAAGCGATGATGGCTGCACGTGTTTCTTTGGAGGTAACCATTGCTAAGAAGAACACAATGATTGGAAGCGTTTCTTCCCTCCATCAGTCTGCTCTTACAATCTATTTAGTATGATAGTGATTTTACCTGACAAGTACTCATTCACATTTTCACATGTGCTGCTGATATCACTCTACACAATAATCTAGAAACAATGTGAATGAACACCACAACTGCTTAAGCTGCAAACTTTGCAAAACACAAAATTTCTGTCATTGCCAAAACGTTTGGCCATGACTGTACACTAACTACAAACAAAAAAATACAAAGGAGGCGCTCACCTCTTACCTAGTGTGTCTAACACTTGTTAGCTGCGGGCAGTATGTATCCTAGGTCGCGCGATACGCTAACCTGTTCCCCATTGAGTGAGTGAGTGAGTGAGTGAGTGAGAGAGAAAAGTCATTTTTGGCCCATTCTTACCATTTGGTGGCGCTTTTGTAATTAGAACTTAGACAGTGAATCATGCTCCTTTAAGCCTCTCATCTTATTAAAATCAGGCATTCCCAAGATTCAGTTTTGAATAATGTCCTTTATATGGTTTTATAAAGCATTTTCTCGCTAATTCGAATAATCGTGCTTGTCCAACATGCTTTAAAGTACCTGTTTTGACCTTTTCAGTGCTTTAATCTGTCGTGATTGGTAGTGAGAGGTTAACCTTTTTTTGGCTTGGGGTAATATCCTGGCTTCAGTAAAGACAGACATGTGGTAATTTGCTCTGTTAGTCCAGGGCAGACAGGGTCACCTGCACTTCAAACAGATGTGACGGTCATTAAAGTTTTGCGAGGTCACTGTGTGCGGATACATTGTCGTGTGTGTTTGTGAGAGGGGAACCTGGCTAGGGTTCAGGCCAGGGTCACTCGGACCAGGTGCCTGTGATTCTTTTACGTCCTCCCTCTCGCCTGTGTGGCAGGCCGTATATAAGTGGCACGTAATCGGCCTGCGCGACCGGAGGGCCCTGGCAGGGAAAGCGAGTCGAGGGGGAGCAGAGTAAACTGAAGGGGGTTTTACTGCCGCTAGAACAGATGTGTGTTAATTAATGTCTTGGTTGCGGGCAGACTCGGCAAAGCTGCGGTGCTGCTCTGTTAGGCAGCGCTGCAACTTTTTACAAGCCTCATTTTGCCCTCCTCTTTGTGCAGTTTATATTGAGTTGCTTTTTACAAGCAGGATGTGAAGCCTCTGGCTTGGTCCTTGCACAAATAGGTAAAGTCTTAAATGAAGCAGAGCCCAGTGTGGAAACTAGTTTAAGAGAATCTCCTCTGTGTCATCAGGACCAGTGTACCAGAATGTATTCTGTCCCTGCTTTTCTGAAGATTTATTAACCAATAAAAGTCTTTTAACACAGCAAGTGATACTTTATCCAAAAAATTATTTTTTTCATACATTGGTCCAATGTTGTTTTGAACCTCACTGATTTTCATAATATGGACAAAAACAATTAAAACATCCTTCAAAATATAATATTTTGTCTTACATAAGAAAGTCAGTCATATGTGTTATGAAAATGTGTATGATACATATGAAAAGATGATCAACGATCAATGACCGTCACAGTCCTGAGGCCGGTGGAAATACCACGTCTCCTCTCCCTTGACCCTTCCTTCATCTCAATACACTCAGCATCTGACCCTACAGGGCATGGTTCATATAAACAAGTGTCTTAAGATTAACAGATTGTCCCCCCCTTTTAGCCCCTTCTTAACCTGTCAGAGGACTATAGACAACCATTTAAACCATTTTTGCTTTGATTTAGCTTTTCTTAATTTTGCTTAATTTAGTCAATGTTGGTCTAGTATATATTTTAAAAAATATTTAATAATAAGAGACATTGTGAAATATTGTTACAATAAGTTCTCTTTTCTCTTTTAATATATTTTCAAATTGAATTATTCCTGTGATTGCAAAGCTGAATTTGATTTTTACTTTTTTGCCATCTTATTTATTTTTTATTACTCTTATTATTTTTTTTTTGTGACGTGACATGTGGCCAAGTATGGTGACCCATACTCGGAATTAGTGCTCTGCATTTAACCCATCCAAAGTGCACACACACAGCAGTGAACACACACACACCGTGAACACACA